CCGAAAACAATCCAAAATACAAGTCTCCATTCGTGAAGAGCCTGATTCGGAGTCAATATGCTAACAATATACGGTGTTAAAATACCGGTAAAAGCGCCTATTCCATTTACCAGAGCCATTAAAGTACCAGAGTAATTTGGACTAAGATCTAGAGCATTTACCTTCATTCCTGGATAAAATGTTCCTAAAAAAAGAGTAAGTAAATCGAATATTAATAATCTTAATTCGATTAAAAATTCCGAAGCATTAAATATATGTGCGTTATATATGTTGTATTACGATGTGTTAATATATTATTATCGAGATATCTTTAGAGAATCAATTTAAGAGGGGAATATATATATATATATATATTAATTATTTATTAAATTATCGCGCATTATATAAAAAAGAAGACGAAGCGAATAGAACGAGACAACTTTATCTCCGTTATATTTTATCCGCCATCGCTTTCTTCATCACGCTTCATCACGCGTACTTTTTATAATTTAATAAATAAATTTTCCAGCATTAAACCGATATTCTAACATTCTTTCATATTCGTTTCGTATCTCAGGGATCGATTTCTTCAAAAGTATCCTACGAATATATCAATACATACCCATTAGCGTTGTACCGAGAGTGAACATAATAACAACAGTTGTCTTGTCACATTCGGCATAAGACGCACCAAGAATGAATGCTCCTGGTCCGAGCGAGGCAATCGTAGTACCTAGTTTGCGTACATTTGTACGTGACATCAGGCCATTTGTGATCATCCAATCAGCTAAACAGGATGTTATCGTACTGCAAATCCACATAGTTAAATATGGTAAAGCGGAAAGAAATCCGTTGTGATCGATCGAATATTTGAGCACGTCGCTCATGTATTTCGGAAGATCGTTGACCAAAGTGAAAAAACCCCAATCATGACCAACTTGTGCCGCTATCAATGCCCAAAGCGGTGTAGATTTAAGAAGGTGTCTCCAAGGCACCGAGGGTGGTTTTTTATGCGTATGCGCTCGCATTCTTTCTTGTAGAAAGATTCGTTCTCTTTCGGAAATAAACGGATGCGTATCCGGATTATTATAACATATCACCAACCATAATAAAAACCAAAGAATTCCGATACTACCGAACACGTAAAATACAGCTGGCCATCCTATTATCGAATATCGAAGAATAACACCGGACAAAGAGTTCGCAAATACCGTGCCAAGTTGAGCACCAGCAAATACCAATGAACCGATCATAGATCTTTCCTCCGGTGGTGTCCATTGTGCGAGCATCGCATTTAACGCCGGAAATGTCGTTCCTTCACAAAGGCCCATTAATAGGCGTACAACGATCAAACCTGTCGCTTCTCCAATTTCTACGGTGATCGGTGTAATCAATGTGAAAATTCCCGTCGCCAATATACCCAAACCAAGCGAATATTTTCCACCAAACTTTTCCGATAGCATTCCACCGGGTAAATGTGTTACCACATAACCCACGTAAAACGACGATAAAATAATACCCTGATTGAAAAAAAAATTATACACGTGAATCCAAAATATAATATATCGTAATTAATCAATAAATTTTTACATTACATTACACAAATATACGAGTATACATCAAGTATATACGCATTTTATAAGATATATAAAATTGCGCTTGTATCTTTTACCTGCATCATCTCGTCCCAATCGTATTTTTTCGCGTTCGATGGCTTTACATCGTTATCGTCCATTCCATTTTCCGTAGTATTTATCTGACAGGTATATCGATCGTTATGCATCGTATTTTTCATTGGGATTACCATTTCGGTAATCGTAATCGATAAACAAACACGCATCGCATAGGCATTGAATAATGCTAAAAATCCCATTATCGCAAATATCCATCGTTGCGGTATTCTTCCACCTGTTCGCATATAAACAAACTCTTATCGTATTATAATAGTATGGATAAATAAACTCACGTTTTACAGAGAAGAAAGCCCGAGGTCAACAGCGCGGAAGGAATGACGATTAGCGGCAAAGCCTTTCCCTATTGGCAGCTGTCTAACGAACCGTACAAACTTATCTAGGTAAAGGTCAAATTCCTTATACGTATCACTAACTTGGGCATCGAATAATTTCGATTTCGATTTATGCGTTATATTAAAAGGATAATCGGTCGAATCAAGAGAAATCTAAGAAAGAGAAGCTAAGAAAGAAAAGAAGAAAAAGGACAAGAGCGATACGTATCTATATACACGTTATTATACGTATACGTATATAAGAGCGAGAAGTTGAAAAATGAATATATACGAAGTAAAAGGTTATACAAGATGTTTAGATTTCTATAACGATACGTGCGATTCGTTTTTATATAATTATACAATTATTATAAGCCAAATCGAAAGGAAGTCAAAAACAATGCACTTTACAAATAATCGAAATTTCATTCGAATATCGTACAGCAAAGGAAAATTCGAAATATAATAATAATAAAAGAACGAAAAAAATGAGATAAAAATTGATGAAAAAAATCAATTTCTTTTCTTTATATTCAAACAAACAAAATAATAAATTAAAAATAAATTAGATTAAAATTTGAATCACAGAAGAAGATGGTAGAGCGATGATAACGATAAATAGAACAAAAAGTTATCAAGTTAAAGGGGAAATAAAATATTTTTCTCAAAATAAATGTTAAAAGGATTAAGAACAAAAAAAAAAAAAAGAAACAAAGAAACAAAGATATACACGCGTTTCCATCGATTCGTTTTATTAACGATCACCGATCAATCAACGAAACAACGATAATCAAACGAATATATATATTTTTGTTACTCGATTCTTTAATCAAATACCAGACCCAGCATCAACGAGTTTATCTTATCTATCACAATATACGGAAAATCCAAATACAAGAAGCCAAAAAGTACCAATAATATCTCGGTGCGATTTACTCCGAACGATTATATCGGTAGACCGAATTGTTGATTCGTTGTAAAGATAACGTAAAACGATCGTAAACTTATTTCGATTTGTGACGAATTATAGTCTCTTCATATATATACGAAACAGTTATTTTCCTTACTTTTAATAAAAAAAAAAATCTCTCTTTATAAATCGAACCACAATCTTTCATTTTTCATCTTTATTATACGTTTATTTCTTTTAACATACGTACATACGTTTTATTTTGTTTAACGCATTTTTTTATCGCATTCATGATTTCACGAAAAATATTCACGAAAAGAAATTTAGATATATATTAATAATAATAATTATTTAAACATATCAACTCGAGAAGATCTATAAAACAAAACAAGATTTTTTATCTCGTTTTTATTATTATTATTTATTATTTATTATCTTACGAAATTGTTTAACGAAATAATTTTACGAAATAAAAAATCATTTAACCATAAATTTATAAAATGCATTAATGGATTTAAAATGAACGTTCTAATACGATACGTCATTATGTATATTTCACGTACAAGTATTTCGTCGGTCGTTATTTTCACAATCGAGATAAAACTACGACGTTACAAGATATTAATATTAATTTTTAATACGCGTTTCTTTCCATACACGTAAATAAAATTTTACAAATTTTTTTTTTAATAATAATCGATACTTTCTTCCATCTTATAATCTAAATATAAATTAGAATATTAAATTAGAATATGCAAAGTAAATCGGTATTTCATCGATATATCATCGGTATATCATCATCAAAATCTACAATATAATACAACGATATAATATTTGTAAATAATTTTGTAAATAAAATAACATCAATTAGAAATATTTCAATCTTCAATCAAACGAAATTAAGAAATTTCAATATCAGATTTATAGATTCTGCTATTAGATACTTACAACATAGTTTGCAGGTAGATAGCATTATGCGAATGAAAATATTCTTCGACCGTAAAAAATATTCTTTAACCGTTAGAATAAAAAGAAAATACACAAAAATTATATTTTCGAAGATCGAATATAAATCGCTCGAACGATTCGAATTACGTTCTTATTTTATTATCACGTTCAATACCGTTAACCCAGAAAAAAGACAATCCGGACGAGTTTAATCAAGAAGATCACGATTGTTACCATCAACAAAAAATGGTAACAGATATACTTAAATAATATTCCTATGACATGTCGCGATCGACTGAATCGATGCTGTCGGTGCGAATTCATTTTATAGCAGTACTTACACGTGCTCTTCACTAAAAGCAAAAAGGGAAAGGAACCGTGGATAAGACGCTTAGCGTGTAGTAAAAGTTGACGCGGGAAAGGTATATCCAACATCGAAGGGGAATGATAACGTGCATATTACACGCGTATCTGTATTCGATATTTTCCGTATATCCATTTTTTACATATACGGATACCTATCACGTAATCGTATACACGTTCAAACGAAGGAATAAAACAATTGACAAGACAAAACAAATAATTTAAATTATTTATTTTAACAACAATATTAATATAAAAATTGAACTTTACGATCGATACGATATATCTTATCAAGGAACAGGATGAAGAATAATTTCGATAATTTTAATCGAAATAAATTCTAGTTTCAATAGATAATACAGCTAAGCCAAGGATTTGAAACTATTCGATAAATAACGAGTACAATATATATATATATATATATATATATATACAGCGATAAATAGTAACGAGTAACGATAAATATCAAGCATACTATATAATATACGTTTAATCCTTAATTCCACTTATATTCCAAGATAAAAAAAATCGATATTAATCAACGTTACGATTCATAAATTTCATTTAACATCATCGAATCATTTGTAATAAATTTTTTTTTTTTACAGTTTACATACGATTCTATCATTACGATTTTTACAATACAAATACAAATACAAATACAAATATCTTTTATAAAAAATAATTATAAAGTTATCTCATAAATATACCTTATTGTACCTTTGAAAAAAAAATATCGATATCCTCGTTTTATTTCGATCTCTATCCAAATATCGCATCGATGCTCTTTCTTTCTTTTTAAAACAGTTTCGTCAAAAATGACATCGCGTAACGAATTTACGTTTATTTCTAAATCTATAATAGATATATCAACGGTTTATAAATTATGCGAAATAACGATCGTTACGATTACAAGATATTACATAATCTTTTTCCTCGATACCATTATAAGATCAACGATAATTCCTCTCTTACCTTTAATATAGTAGGATTAACACGTCGTCGATAAAATCAACCAAGTTTGACAAAAATAGACGATATAAATTATCATAATGCGATATAATCTTACACACTTATATACACTTCGCTTAATAACTTTTGTTAATGTCGGATTATTATCAAACGAATTATCAATTCCATCTTTAGCACACGATATAACGTCGCTTAGTTCGCAACAGAAAACAAAAATGGAAAAAACGGGGGNGGGGGGGAAAAAAAAAAAAAAAAAAAAAAATAAATAAATAAATAAAAATAAAAATAAAACAAAATAAACGTAGATAAAAGAAAATAACTTCGTCGAAAGAAAACCCTATTCATATATTTGTTTTGTAAAATATAAAATTTAATTAAAAAAAAAACAAAAGATCACATCATTAATCATCGGATAAATAAATAACGCTATTTTATTATTTCTTATTTTTTAGAGTTTAGAGACTCTTAATTTTTTATTTTCTTTCCTTTCTTTACTTTCTTATAAATATGAGGTATTTCACGTACCAATCGTGTACTTTCTTCTTTCGCCTTAGTTACAGCTTTGTCCAATTCGTGCATCTATAAAATTTATACATTTTTTCCCCTATATTTTGCATATTCAATAAAATAATTCTATCTCTAATTTTAAAAAGATACTCACGCATTCCTTAACCATATATCTTTTAAACAAATCGAACAATTCATTCACAGTCCAAGTAGTCTCATCCGATTTTCCCAATCTAATAAAGGAACATTGCGACTCATGTTTCATATGTTCATTCCTAGAAGCAATTAAAATAAGGTTATGCGATCAATAAAGCGATAAATCAAAGAAATTAAACGAACAAGAATACAAAATTAGTTAAAAAAAATTAAAATTATTCGCATTCCATAATTAATTATTAAACAAATAAAATAAAATAAAATAAATATACCAGGGATCATCATCCGGATCCCAACTATCAAGTTGTTTGGAACAAATAAAACATTCAACCAAATCGGGTTCTTTCTTACCACCCACTACATAAAAACCAGCAGCAGCCATTCGCTCGGGATTGCACGAATTGTCAGAAGATTGAAACGGCCAATCTTCAAACGTTTTTAATCTACCAATTTTCCAAAACGTCGAATTATGTTCTCTAAACAAAAGACGAAATCAAAATTAATCGAGGTTATGAAGCATCGTCGACCGCGTAGAACAAAACTATGTAAAAATGAAACAAATAAAATGCTACTCACGGTAATAAATCCATAATTTTAAAATAAAATAATTTCAATCTTTAATAAAACACATTCACGATAAATACGCAAGTATAAATATCGTTACGGTGAAATCAATGGCGTCCTTTTTAAACACACATCACAAGTGATGCAACCTACTCGATCGTTGCGCTTATTATTACCGATAAAAATTATTTTATTCACTCGCGTTGAATACTAACGGACAATAGACGCGTATACGATACGTACGTTTAAAATAAAGTTAACCAATCACGTATCCCTCTACAGATCGGACAAGCATAGAACAGATTCAATATCACGGATCAGACGCAGCGAATAGGCGTTCACAACATTCAACGGAACTTCGCGTTCCACGCTTTCAAATACCGATCGTGCAAAAATCAAAGCGTTCGGTATGCCCTCTACAATTCGAATTCAAAACGACGACGAAATTCAATTCCATCATACGAATCGATAAAAATCGAGAGATTTTGAAAATAACTTCTTTCATAAATATTATCACGCGTATTATACGTATCAGATTGTATCCATACATCAATTATTATTACGAATAGTAAAAAAAAAGAGTCGTGTATAAGTTGAATCATTCATAAATTAAAAATTCACTCGTAAAATTTTTTTTTACAATATAACGCAAATAATATCAATTCGTGAGATCTTTCTATAAAAATGATTCGTCGCATTTCCGAAAACTTGTCACTTATCCGATTTAAGTAAAATTTTAACAATATCATTTTACAAAAATATTTTTATAAAAATAAAATTATTCAGATTTAGCTGAAATTTTGAAAATTGATTCTTTTCGAATAACAAGATAAAAACAGTATCCGCGAGAAGAATTTTTGACGATTTCCTAAGTTAAAATTAAAACATTTCTCGAAAAAATGTTTACGTTTTTACGTTTTTACGTTTGCCGTAATTTCAATTTCTACGTTACCGACACAGGATATATTTTTTTTTAATCACAAATGTTATTTTTTTTTTCTTTTTTTTTTAGTACGCACACTTTTTTTGCATCGACAAGCGATAAACGAAGAACGGAGAAATTTAACAAGGAAGAAATACAAATATTCGGACATTTGACAAATTTATATTAATTCGTTTAAACAGCAATTTTTTTTTTATAAAAAAAAACTAAATCGAGTTTCTAAATCGCGTTTAATTTTTTTTTTCTTTCGCGACGCGTTTCGAGCAATTACAATACATTAAAAAAATTATCTTTCCTCGATAACGAACTCTACACTTTATATTCCATTTTGTATTCTTATTCTAAACAAATTTATTATTTACTATATATTTTTTTTATATACACATTAAAAATATCTATGTATATATTTTTCTTAATATATATATTACATATTCGATAATAATAATATACACATATATATATATTTTACATATTCGACGGTTCATTTATCATATAAGAATATTTATGCAACTGCGCACAACTCGTTCCTTATCTCAGTTCATAATAACATAATATTTAGACATTTTGCAATGCATCGCAAATTAAAATTACATTTTTCTTTGATTCATTTCGTAACGTTCAAACGTAATATCAAATCAACATACTTTTCATATTTTCAGTACGCGTCAAATCAATAAAATTTTCAATTATAAGAATATTTACATATTCCATTGTAATATATTTAATATATTTTTACAATAACGTACGTAGGTCAAAAATGTACGATCTATCGATTTATGATTCGAACATTATAGATAAAAAAGAAAAAATGAAGAATTTCAATCGAAGGAAATCGAACATATATAGATAACAAATTTCGCATAAATATCCCTATACGATAAATCGAATCGATCGGATACGTGAAAAACAATAGCGTATAT